CCTAGACTCCTCAGGGAAGTCTTTTGAAGAATCTGTGGGACAGGTGTTCCTTCACAATCAAAGAAGGGGAAACCCTTCAGCCTTATCAGGGGTTGATGGCCTCACAGACTGGTGCAGCCACTCTGGAAAACAGAATGGAGTTCCCTCAAAAAGTTAAAAATAGAACTACCCTATGGCCCAGCAATTGCACCACTAGGTATTTACTCAAAGGACACAAAAATACTGATTTGAAGGGGCACATGCACCCCAATGTTTACAGCAACACTATCAGCAATAGCCAAATTATGGAAAGAGCCCAAATGTCCATTGACTGATGAATAGATAAAGAAGATGTGGCATGTATATGTATACACACACACACACACACACACACACACACACACACACACATATATATAGTGGAATATTACTCAGCCATCAAAAGAATGAAATCTTTCTTGCCATTTGCAATGATGTGGATAGAGCTAGAGTGTATTATGCTAAGTGGAATAAGCCAGTCATATGATTTCCCTAATATGTGGAATTTAAGAAACAAAATGGATGAACATAGCGGAAGGGAGAGGGGAAGAGAGAGAGAGGGAAGCAAACCATAAGAGACTCTTAACTACAGAAAACAAACTGGGGGTTGATGGAGGGAGGTGTGTGTGGGGTGGGCTAAATGGGTGATGGGAATTAAGGGGGGCACTTGTGATGAGCACTGGGTGTTCTATGTAAGCGATGAATCACTAAATTCTACACCTGAAACCAGCTTTACCATATATGTTAACTAAGTAGAATTGAAATAAAAAATTGAATAAAAAGGGGGGGGGAGTTGATAGCATCACAAGCAGGACAGTGATGGATGGCATTGTGTCTGTATTATTCCAAAAACCACTGCACCCATCTGGCCAACGGTATCAATCTGCTGGGCCTCCGTAACAAAATATCGCAGACTGAGGGGCTCCAACAACAGAACTGTATTTTCTCCCAGGTCTGGGGGCCGGAAGCCTGAGATCAAGGTGCTGGTTCTTCTGAGGCCTGGTTCTTCTGAGGGCTGGTTTCTTCTGAGGCCTCTGTCATTGGCTTTTGGTCGGCTGCCTTCTCGCTCTGTCCTCCTGTGGTCTTTCCTCTGTGTGTTCACCCCTCGTGTCTCTCTGTGTGTCTGAAGTTCCTCTTCTCAGGAGGGCACCAGTCAGATGAGATTAGAGCCCACTTTACAGCTTCATTTTAACTTAATCACCACTTTAAAAGCCTTATTTCCCCAAATAGCCACACTCTGAGGTACTGGGTATTAGGGCTTCAACGTATAAATTTGGCGGGGGTGGGGGGACATAATTCAGCCCATAACAGCAGCACAGTAGGAAATGTATGGAACTTGATGTCATTTTGGGGTGCTCAATTAACCAGCCCTGAAATCAATTGCCTTTGGGTTTCTTGTCTTGAGAGGTAATACAGTTTCCTTACTGTCAAAGCCATCTTTGATTGGGCAGCCTGTTCTTTGGAGCCAAAAGCATCACAACCCAGGCACTGTGTGTTTTCTCAAGCTGTTTCCTCTGCCTAGAGTGACCTATCTTCTGTATGTCCTTCAAGGCTCAACTTGAATGCATTGGAGTTCGGTGAATGGCCCCTGATTCTGCCTTCCCCAAATGCTTGGCTTGCATCAGAGTTTTTGCTTACATGTCTCTCCAGCCAGACCAGGGTCAGCATATGCACCATATACCTGCTGTCACATCCCCTCCTCCTGTCCCATGGCAGGCATTGATAATCAATCCCCTTTTGGTTCTGAGAGTAGATCTGGTTTTCATAATCTTCTACACAGAGCTCTAGGCAGCCCCTGCCAATCAACCGGAGGTGGCCCCAAAGAGATGAACCCTATTTGCCACAACTGTTAAGTCTTTGAGAACACGGACTTTGTTTCACTCATCTGTTTTGATT